CCACAGACACTAAGAACTCAGTATTCACAGTTCTTGAGGTTAGCAGTCCAAAATGGGTCTGTCTGGGCTAAAATCAAGACATCGGCAGAGGTGCAGTCCTTCTGCAGTCTCTGTGGAGAACGCCATCCTCGCCTATGTCTTTATAGGCCGCGCACACTCCTTGCTTCGTGGCCCCACATTACTCCAACTTTTGCTTCCCTTTCCTGGTCTCTGACTTTGACTTTCCTGCCTCCCCCTGTTCCTCACAGGACCCTTGTCGTTACACTGGGCCTACCTGGCTGAACCAGAATACTGTCCCCATCTCCAGAAGCTTAACTTAGCCCATCGTGGTGGCACTGCCTATAAGCCCAACACTCTGGGAAGCTGAGCCAGGAGGATCACAAGATCAAGCCCCGCCTGGGCAACGCAGTAATTGGCAAACCCTGACTCAAAATAAAAAAATAGAAAGGGTTGGGGCTGTGGCTCAGTGGTCATCCCTAATTTGATCACATCTGCAAAGTCCCCTTCGGCGTGCAGGTCAGCACAGACACAGGCTCCATGGATGAGGGTACAGACATGTACCCTTTGTGGAGGCTATTATTCAATTTACCACGTGAGGCATCATACCTAAAGGAAGTGGATCCAGGGGTGGTATTGCACACCTTTAATCCCTGCACTTGAGAGTCTGAGGTAGGAATACTGACAAGAACTTGAGGCCTGCCAGGACTGCATATTGAGAGCCTGTCTCAGATAGAGGATGATAAGGTTGAGGGCGGTGGAGCATCTCTTCCAGGCCTTTGTGGATCTCAGTGAAAAATTTGGCCTCTACCTGCTGAGGCACATGTTACAGTTGTAGGGTTTTGTTTTGTTTTGTTTATTTTGTTTTGAGATAGAGCTTTGCTATATATCTCAGACTGGCGTTGAACTCATGATCCTCCTGCCTCAGCCTCCTCAGTGCTGGGATTACAGGTGTGCACCACCGTGCCTAGAGATCTTGCAAGTTTTAGTGGGACCGCTCTGGCTTGTTGTGTTGAAAGCGGACCACCCAAGAGGAGGCTGTACAGTATCCAGGTAAGATGAAGATGGCTGGGAGTGTGGTGAGAGGGATGCTTCTCATTGAAATTTTAAAAACCATCTTAAAATTCATTTGGAGCCACGAAAGACCCTCAAAAGCGAGATGAGAAAGAACAAAGCTGGGAGGATCAACTACCTCAAATTACATCATAAACCAATAGTAATCAAGACAGAATGCTGCTGGCATAAAAGCAAACACATAGGCCAAGGAAATAAAATAGTGATCCTAGAAACAAACCCAAGCTTATTTGGTCAACTAATATTTAATCAGGGCACCAAGAATACACAATGAGGAAACGAGAGTCTCTTCAATAAATGGGGAACTCAAGATATCCACATCCAAAGGAATAAAATTGGACCCTTATATTAGGCACAAAGATATTCTCAAAATGGATTCAAAACTTAAACATACGATCTGAAAATATAAAACTCTAGAAGAAAACAGTGAAAAAATTTCTTGACATTGGCCTAGGCACCTATTTTTTGGATATGGCACTAAAAGCACAAACAAGACAAAAAAGTAAATAGTAATCCCAGCACTTGGGAGGCTGAGGCAGGAGGATCACTAGGAGTTCGAAACCAGCATGGGCTACAGAGTTCAAGGCCAACCTGGATTACACAGTGAGACACTGTCTCAAAAAAGAAAAAAAAAAAAAAGAGCTTCTGCACAACAAAGTGAAAAGGTAATCTACAAAATGAAAGAGAATATTTATAAGTTATATATCTCACAAGAGGTTAATATTTAAAGTAAATAAGAAACTTGTACAACTGAATAGCAAAAAAAGCCAATTAACTTGATTAATTGAACCCAAATAGATACTTTTCCAGAAAAGACACACAAATGCCCAATAGATACTGTATATAAAAAAAAATTTCTCCACTAATCATCAGGGAAATGTAAATTAAAGCCAGGAGACACCACCTCGCATGTCTGTTAGGATGGCTATTATTGAAGATACAAAAGATAAGTGTTGGTGAGGATGTGGAGAAATCAGAACTCTGAAAGTATGGTGGGAATGTAAGCTGGTCCAGCCATCATGGAAAACAGTATAGTGGCTCCTCAAAAAGTTAAAAATCAAAATACTATATGATGCTACAACCCCATTTCTGAGTCCTTATCCAAAGAAAGTGAAATCAGCCTGTTTCTTGTTTTCTGCTGTGTTTTTTGCGGGGGTACTGGGGCTTGAACCTAGGGTTTCACACTTAGTAGGTAAGTGCTCTACCACTGAGCCATATCCCCACGCTGAGGAGATACTTACACTCCTATGTTAGTTGCCTTATTTACAATAGATAAGCTATGGAAACAACCTAAATGTCCACCAACTGATGAATGGATAAAGAAAAGATGGTATGCAGAAATGAAGGGACATGACTCATCTTTTAAAAAAAGAAAGAGGAAATTCTGCCATTTGTGATAATATAAATAGAGCTGCAGAACATTATGCTACATAAAATAAGCCAGACATGGAAAGAAAAATACTATGTAATCTCATATGTGAATTCTAAACTAGTCAAACTCATAACATCAGAGAATAGAATGGAGGGAGATGTTGGTCAAGAGTATTAAGTTTCAGTTGTGTAAGATAAATGTTAGAGATCTCATGTACGGCACGTTGACAGGTAACCAAACTATCTTATATACTTGGAATTTGCTAAGGTAGACTCTTAGTCCTCAACACACATACACACAAACCACACATACCACAAAGGTAACTGTATGAGGTGCTTGTGATTTTATATATATATATATATATATATATATATATATAAAACTATAACTATATATATATAGTTTTTTCCCCTAAGGTAAGAACAAAGAAGGGCAGAAGGGCAGATTTTTCTTTTTGTTTCCGGGAATCAAACTCATGACCTTGCGCTTGCCAGGCAGGCGCTGTGCCGCTGAGCTCTATCCCCAGCCGAGAAGGGCAGATTTGAGCTGCTACCGAGGTCAGGAATTTGCTTTGAGATGTCTATTGGGTATCCAAATGATGATACTGAATAGGAAGTCAGATAAGAGTCTGGAGTTTAAGAGGGAGGCCTCTAGAGATCTGTTTAGAAAGATTGATTGGCATATGGGTGGTGTGATGATTAATACATCAACTTGACTGGGCCATGCGATGAGCAGAGATCTGATTAAACATTATTTCACTGTGTCTCTGAGAGTGTTTTGGGAAGAGATTAGCATTTGAATAGCTGGACTGAGTAAAGCACATGGCCTCCCCCATGTGGGTGAAACTCATTCAATTCATCAGGGGTCTGAACACAACAAAAAGGCAGAGGAAGGTGAGGTTTGCCCTTCCTGCACCTGACTGCGTGACCTGGGACATCCACCTTCTGCTCTCAGCACTCCTGCTTCTTAGGGCTTCAGACTTTGACTGGAATCTACCCAGCTGGCCTCACCCGCAGCTTCCCTGGGTTTCCAGCCTGCAGACGGATCATGGGACTTGTAATCACCTGAGGCAACTCCCTGTAATAGACCTCTCCTATAGGTTCTGTTTCTCCGGGAAACCCTAATTTAGGTGTCATTTAAATCCATGACCCTGGATGAGATCTCATGTGTCAGGAGGAAGTCCATAGGGACTGAACCTTCTTCTAACACAGAAGACAAAGACTAAGGCCTGGGCACCTCTGATAAGGAAGAACCTGGGATGAAGAAATCTGCCTGGGAAAAGATGAGGTCTCATCTGAGAAGCAAATGCTACAAACTGCCTGCAGCAAGCATGGCATGAGGGTGGGTGGCGAGGATGACAGACTCGCTTTCTGACAGTGGATCTCTGGCACACTGTAAAGGAGCCAATGTACAGGGATTGGACCCTCTGCCGGGGCAGCACTGTTCTTGGGAGTTGGCTGTCTCTCCTCAAGCTGGCATGCTCTGCTCCAGAGGCCTGGCCTCCACTGTCCCAGCATACTTTCCCTCTGGTCTCAGTAACTGCTGAGTAAGCCTCACTTGTCCCTTCCACTCTGCCAGGTGGCCAGGCTGGCCCCCAGGTATGGGATGGTGCCCCTGTGCCCGGCTCCCACGTCTTCTGTTGCTCCCACTTGTAAAACTACCCGCACAGAACCTGTTCTTGTCTGGCTCTCTCTCTAAGCCAAGTCGACTTTGGATTTCTGGAAAGATTCCTCATTTCTGTGGCCTAGCATGGTGTCTGGCATCTAAGAGGTTTTTGTGGAACAGAAATACTCAGGAAAAGCCCTTTCTCATGCTTGCATCTGGCCACGATTGGCCTTGTGTTAGGCAGAACTCCAGGCCCTGGACTTCCTACTCTGAAACCAAAAGTGCTGGCAGATCTTGCCAAGCCCCTTTCCATCTTGGCAGGGACCCTCACAGCACTGTACCCATTGATACTGAGTATTTGTGAAATACCCACGAAGAGGCCTGGACTTGGATCGGTCTCGGCTCTGGCACTCTCAAGCAAGCTTGAACTTTGGATTCGCACCTCTAAAATGGAGATGACAGACATTGATCTCTTAGGTTCCTCCTAGTCCTGACAATATTTGGCAGTGTTTGGCAGATTGTAAAGAGCTGGCAATTCTGATTTACCAGAGGTCTGGGGTTTTTCCTGGGCAGATGAGTCAGGGCACTAATTAGACCCACCCAAAGCCACATGAGGCCTCCTACCATAGTGCACTTGGTCTTACTCAAGCCTCTGAGGACAAGAAGCACCTTCCACAGGCAACAGGAACCTAGGGAGGGAGAGGGCCTCAACCCAGTGGAAACTCTAAAACACCCACGGACATCCACAAGTGTTTCCAATGACTAAGGCCAGACTTCCTGAAAACTGGCTCCAGAATGGCTGGGCCTGCAGGACCACTCTGACCAAAGCCACCTCCTGCTCTGCCCATCCCCAGCCCCACTGTGCCACTTCTCTGCAGGGGCCACCATTTCCCTCTCAGGATAGGGACCCAGGTATTCCCTTCCCCTCCAAAGCAGGCAACACACGAGCAGGTTCAGCATGCGCAACTCTTTATTGACCTTTACTTTCCCAAGTAACTCTTCTTCACTGGTCAGAGAATTAAAAAACTGAGAGGCGGGGGAATACGTACAGGTAGAAGTCAAAGGCATCACACATAATGGGTATGTTATAATGGCTTGAGGTTAGTCTGAAGTTGACAAGCCTGCTATTTCAGAGGCTCAGAAAGTTTATGCCCAAGAAATATGCATTCAGCCAAAACCCTTCCACCTGCTAGAGGAAACTCAGGCATGACCATGGCCCAGGCCTTCTGCTGGCTCTCCCAGTAAGCATTTTTCAGACCTGATTGGCACAGCCAGTGGACCACTACCATTGCATGGCCAGAGTGTCCTGCCCTAACACAGGTGAGGTCTGGCTCCATCCACACAGCAGAATCGAAAGTGACTGATGAGCACATCTGCGGTACACAGCAATGTGAGAGGAAGTGCTTGGCAGCATTAGATAATGACTCCGAAGTGTAGTGTGAATCTACAAGGTGGGTGCCTATTGGCTAGCCACAGTGATTAAGTAACAGTGAGCTGACCTAGCTTCTGAACAACGCCCTAGGGCAGGGTCTGCTCACAGGGCATTTCAGTCTCCAGACTGGAAACCACCATGGAAGCAGGAGGAGGAAGTGTTATCTGTCCAGCTGAAGCCTGGGGACCATCATGACTGTCCAGATCTCTGTGGTCAGAGGGCATCACAGCCTCTAGACACTGAGCCTGGGATGGAGAAGAAACAGGATGTTGATTCCCAGGAGGACTGCCCCCAGGCCGCCTGGCTCCTCAGGCCTCCGCCTCTATCGCTTCTTCTTGGTCTCCTTCTTGGGCCTCTTGTTGGCAGAAGGAATGGCAGCCTTGGTCTTCCTTGTCGTCTCTGCACTTCTGGGTTCAGATGGTTCTGTCTCCTGCATGGCAATAAAAAGGAGAGTCCTGCTTAGAGCAATCAAGCCTGACTGAAGGGGCTTTTGGGTGCTCTGGAAACACCCTGGATGGGAAGCCTCCTCCCTGGGACTCAGGGTCTGGGCTCTTTCACTTTCCAGGCTGGGACCTTGTGGGCAACTCACTTCCCTTTGTGTCTGGCTTCACTCATCTGTGAAATGGAAATAGTGATCCACACTTGGTGGGCTGAGGCGAGAGGGCAAAAAGGCACGGAAAGCACCAGGAAGTAGCGGCTATACCGGGGGCTGGCTGCTTGCCCTGCGTGAAGGACTGGGCAGAATGTGGGGGAGGGGCTCGCTGTGGTTCTCCTCCCATTCACACCACAGAATGCAGGACTGCAGGAGAGAGCGCAGCCAGCAGGTGCACGCGCAGTCACTACACCATGTTGTCTGACCTGGCAGAGGTGCCCTTGGGAGGACAGAGGCGGCCTTGGGCCTGAACTCCAGACTCCCCCGCACCTAGGGCAGCTCTGTTTTATCTACTTCATACACTGTGATTTGATTGAAACAAAGGTTCTGCTGTTGAAAAGAGAAAGGTTCAAAATGACAGATTTCATTCACTGGCCTTCACTGTGCTAATGAAGAAGGTGGGCTCCGGGAGGGCCTGGCCTGCCCCAGGACACCGAGGCTCATGCCAGAGATTCTGGAGCAGATTCAGGCTGCTCCTGTCTAGTGGCCTCTCCCGCTCTGGGTGATAAGGCTAGAAAGGACATTAGGGAGGCCAGGCTGGCCGGGGACACTAATGTTGCTCACAGGCCTAGGCTGGCCCACAGGCAAACTTCCCTTGGCCTGCAATGTTTTTGTTTTTTAATTTAAACTAATGGGGAGGACTTCCATAAAATAAGGATTCCCAGCTTCTCTGCAAGACTTTGCACAGCCAATGCCACCGGCTCCACACTCCCTTGCTGCAGCAATGGGCTCCGAGTCCGCCCCTTCGTTTGGGGGCAAAGCACTCCGTGGCCTTCACCACTCTGCTGCCCCAGCACGTGGCAGAGGAACGCTTCATAGTACCCTGATATTTATTTAAGGAGAATAAAAAGCAGGCACCTGTGAGAGGGGCATACACACTACTTCTGGAAGACAAACATACCCATGTTTAATCTGCCATCCCTCAGCTTCCGGCTAACTTAACTCTCTTGACTTTCCCTGCTTATCACCCACCCACCCCTACTGCCCAAAGCAGAGGGACCACAGCTGGGGTGGGGGACGGGAAGTCCCTGTCAAAGGTCCAATCGAGCCCTGTCAACTCCCAACTCCCTCTTACTGGCCACTATCACATCTAGCCAGTCAGGCAAGATACCAGATGGGAAGGCCTTGGTGAGGAGTCTCAGGTACCCAGGGCCTGAGCTTCCCCATAACAGGAGTGCTGCCAATTCCCTGCCCAGATCTTAGACCGTAGCTCTGCACTACCCTGGCCTGCAGGGCTTCCTCTTATCAAAAGTCAAAGTGATGTCCAAGGTTTCCCTATGGTGATAACTGTTTATATAACTTGGCTAAAAAATAATGAAAGATTATCCCATTAGAAAAACAAAACCCAACCTCAGAGGAGACAGTCTGTCAACTGCACACACACTGACAGCTGCAGAGTCCGTGCGGAGGGCTCACACTTACGGCAAACCCAACAGGACCCAATGCATCTGGGGGGTCTTAGGGGCTGGAAACCATGCCAACGTAGTACCTGCGCAGCCAGCAGAAATCAGTCAGTCCCTGAGCACCTCGGGCAGCTGAGGTCTGATGCCTGCTAAGACCTTCCCAGCTCTCCAGGACAGAGCCCCTCTTTCTAGTTCAAAGCTGAGTGTCTTCTCCAGTTTCAGTGGGGCCCACTTCAGAATTCAGAGATGGTGACACCCAGGTGTTGCCTCCAGGGCCTCCTCACTCCACAGACCCTCTCCCTAGCATCTCATCCCTTCTGGCATCTCTCAGATCACTGCTCTCCTCACTGGAACCTTCCAGTGGCTCTCCATAACCCACCCAGGATGGCATGAAGGAGGCCACCTCTCCTGCCTCATCTGGGGTCTTCCTCATCCCCAACTGGTCAGGCCCCAGGGCTTCCCCTGACAACCTCCATCAACAGCCACACCCTCCTTTCCTTGACCACCTAGAAAATCCTGCCCTGTAGTCTGGCCCTGCCCAAGAACACACTCCAACTGCCTAACCGTCCTTCTGTACTGCTCAATTCCAGCTGGCAGCATCCCTCCTCTACCCCTGTCCCCAGGCAGCCAGGCACCTTATAGCATCACTACTACTTTACCGTAATGATGTCTTTCCATGTCCGTCTCCCCTGTTAGCCTGTGATCTCTTTGGGGTGCTTCACTTGTTGCTAAATGAGTGAGCAAATGAAAGAACAGGCAAGCTCTCCCATAACTATGGGGATTTTGCTCTTTATCACTCTGAAAATACAATGCTTAAAACTAGGATTCAACCAGTGCCATAATGAGTCGCATTTTATAAACAAAGACAGATATTCAGAGAGCTTACCAACAGTCTCAACTGGTAAGTAGCAGAGTCAGGATTTGAACCTAATCTCTTACTAGTTACACAGTGTAGCCTGGAGATCTCAGGGTTTCCTGGGCACCTTGGGGGCATGAATACTTTGAATCTGAGTTAAATGTGACATTTTCTGTTTAGCAGCCCCTCTGGAACTACAGGGTGACTGGAATGACAAAAAGGGTCTGCTCTAGATTCTAACTGTCGAAGGGTCACTCAGAGCCCTGCTGTTTGTGACTAATGTTCCTATAGGAGTCAGGAGAGTGGGTTGGTGCTCCTAAGTCATGCTGTATTTTTCGAGGCTGAAAGCAGCTCTCTGTGGGAGTATGTACATATTACAGTCATCGAGTCATCTGAATGCATTATCTGTCTCCTCCCTCACCCCAGACCTCCTCCTCACTTCCCCATCTCAGTTTCTGGCATTGTCACCCATCCAGAAACCCAAGCGAGAAACCACCCAGTTATCTAAGTCATTTCTAAGTTCTCCTCACGCCCTCATGCTTCCACACCACTGTCCATTCTACTTCCCAAAGGGGTCTAGACTATGTGGGTCCCCTCCAGACACACTCCACTGCCCTGGTTCAGACCCCATAACCACCTGTCTACTTCTCACTGGATGAACCACCTATGGATACTCCTGCCCGTATCTTGCTTTCGCCATTCTCCTGAGTCTATTTTCCCAAAATAATCGCAACAGTCTCAATCATGTCTGTTTTCTGCTTTTAAATGTTGCTGGCCTCCCTTTACATGAGATAGAGTCCAAGAGACTCAGCACGGTCTCCAGGGCTATTCCAATCCAGCCTCAGCCTTGTCTCCAGCCAGCCCTCCTGTCCCTCTGGGCTACCTGCCACATAGCACTGCCTCTCATCTGCTCTATAGGTGCCAGCATTCACCACTTACTTATCCACACCTAGTTTGTATAGGTCCTGCACACCTTGAGGCAATGGAGCAGGGCATGTACACGTGCAGGATGTGTTCCGGGAGAGCGCTTCATGAAGCTCACAGAGCTTCTTCACCACAGCGATCAGCCAACCACTGTGAACCACATCTACTGGTCAGGTACCCGAGGCTCACTGCAACTGGATAACCAGGCACATGCAGCACAGCCACCCTCCCCGCAAGCTGCAGGGAGGCAAAGGCGGCTGTCATACACACGATTTGGGTCCTTGGGTCCCAGCCACACAAAACCTGAAGCTCCAACTCTAGCTGGCAGGAAGGACTCTAAATGAATGAGTGACTCTAATTTCTCTTTAGATGTGTGTCACCAAGATGGCTGACTACATACTCCACAGCCTCACCTTTAAATCTGGGAACACCACCCTCCTTTGAAGCCAGTTTTAAGTTTCCTTGACCATCATGCTGTGGAGGGTAAAAGAAAGAAAACCGCAGCTGCCAGGTGGCTCCTGGGGCTGCGGAGGCGTCTTCTGTGGACATAGGCCCCATCAATAATGAAGCTGCTCTGTAGCCACTTACAGTCCAGAAAATTGCTGCTATTCATCAGGTTCAAATAATCGAATCTGTGCTACAATGCATCAAATCCCTTCCAGCAGGGAAGGTGCAAAGAATTTTATGATTTCCACTCTACAGTTCATTGTGGATTTAGTTCTGTAAATCAGGACAACATGTCATTCTACACAGACTATAAAACCATTCTATCTCTGAAAATGGTCTAGGCAAAGAAAACTACTACGCTACGCTTGGGTGCTACCTTGGTTTTATTTCATTTGATCTTCTGAAAACTCTGGATCTTCTTTTTATGGCTTAGGACCCAAGGCTCAGAAGGATTAACAAGGGACCAGCACTCAGACCAAATCTGCCTAATGCTGAAGCTCATGCCTGTCCCTCAGTGCTACTCGTGCCTGAGGCCCCGCGGAGCATGGGAGCTGAGAAGACCTTGTGGAGATGGAGCTAGCAGTGGCCTTGAGAAGAGGGGAGGACTAGTCGAAACTTAGAGGCACGGGGGAGGCTGTCGATGTGGACTCAACTAGACAAATGAAAACACAAGAGTCCAGGACGCACTTGGCAGGCGAGTGGAACTGTGATTAGAAAGAACAGCCTTGAGACCTCATTTGAGACACAATTCAGCACGAATCTACAAGCCATTCCCACTGGCTGGTGTGTGGCTCCCCGTGCCCAGCCGTCTCTGCCACAAGCTGGAACACATCTCCAGGCCACTGGCTGGTGGGAGCATGTTTATAGCCTCACCATGCCCACCACACAACAGTCTCACAGGACAGGTCATTAAGTAAAGAACACCCTGCCTTCCACTTTAACTGTGAACTCCTCTTAGGCTTAAAAACAAAAACAACAAAACAAAAATCCCACACAGAGCGTAACTGAAAGCTGGTTCTGTAAGGCGTTGAGAATGGGTACATGCTTGCCGAGTTCATTATTTATGGCAGCCCTCAGTGGCAACCAGGGACCTAGTTAAAATCAAGACCCTCATGTAAAACTTTCCAGCAAGGTTCTGATGTTCTAGG